TTGAGGAAGAGAGCAGAGTTGTTCCTCAGCACAAAACATAGCTGGAGCCTCTACCACACCATCTGAGAGCCAAGAAGAACTACATGAATACCAATCATTGTTCCTCTTGAGACACAAGCATAAATCCCAATCCTCCGTTTCCCCATAGGCAGCAGAAGGATCCAACGAAAAGGCTTTCAGTTTCATTCCTTCTGATCTCTACTTCAAAGAGGCCTAATAGAAACTTGCTTCTGCTCTGTCCTCTCCAGGGCCTGTGGACCAGTACCTGCTTCACTAGCCCACCTTTTATACTTCATCTCTATCAATACTTTTCTTTCACAGCTTCTCTAAGTATGTTGGCTGGATATTTTTATAGTCATGGCTGGAGCTGACCATAAGTTTGACCTAATATCCTTGGAGACCTAGTAGCAATATGTGACAAACGAATGGATCTTTTCTTAAAATATTTCCACATTATTAGATCACAGCACTTTCTTCACTGCCCAGACCTATGCCACACCCAGTAGACTGTTTAACATATCCAAGTTCCATGGGATGAATGACAACTTTCAAAGAAATGATAATTGGCCATTTGATGTAAATCTGCATGCAAACGTTTAATAAATGCAGAATAAGAGCAAACTTTTCACTAACTTTTTCTTGTGCATACCTCACATAGACATAGACTATGCAATGGAAAATGGTTCCATAAAGTCAAAGTTGGAATTCTTTTAATTTTTATAACATGTTAAGACCAAAATTGTTCCATGAGATTTTACCTAGTAAATTAGTAGGAAAATTATAGCTACAAATTTTCTCTTTCCAAATATCTTTGTTTAAAATCATTAAAAAAAAAAAACAACATTCGATAAGGTTGACCTATTTGTTTATGACAGAGAGGCCCAATGCTTGGTTAGCGACCAAGCATGCAAAGAGTCAGGGGTGATGATGTATCTAAAATTCCCAAAGCCCCAAACTCACCAGAAGTTCTTTATACTTTGGCCTTTTGGATTCATCCTTTGTAAGGCTAAAATAACACAAAAATAACATTAGTAAAATGGAGACACATTTACTCAAGCACTTTTCACAAATGAAATACTACAAAGAATCAAATAGTTTTTCCTTCAGATCTAAAGTAAACAAAGCAATCTACTAAACGCACAAAAGCACACACACAAAATTAAGACAATCTATAATCTGAGGATTTATCCTTAGGATATTCAATGTAGGATCACTAGCGAAAAACTACAAAAAAGTTAATTGCTGAGAATTGACTAAATTACGACATAGCTGCCCGGTAGAATCCTACACAGTCAAAAATCTGAATGTGTAAGTGTAAAATTATATTTGTACATATGTATGTTATTCTAAACATATATGCATAAATAAATATATATTTATACAGAGATCACCCAAGAGAAGCTAGCAATCCAGTAATCCTAGGAGGTAAACTACTAATATATATGAATTTTATCAATTTATCTATCCTTAAGTATCAAAAACTTCTGTACTCTGTATCTCAATGCTGTGTTCTTTAGTCTAGAAGTTTAAAACAATACTACTTCACTAAAAACTGTATCAGTACATAAAAACCTCTGCCCTGCTGATATTTTCCCCTTGAATTTTACCTTGACTAATTAAAGCTGCCCAAAATATTTTGTTTGTATTTACCTCATCTATCTTGGCCCATGTTGTAATCACCATTCCACTCCCCTCCAACTTCAGTTAAATCCATTTTTACCATCCAAAGTTAATTAATATTGGCAATATAGTTCACCTCTTTCTCAACACGCTGCTGTTTTCCACATCCCACACCTTCTACAGTGGATGCTGCAATGTGCTATGTAGATTCCCTCTTTTAAGAACAAAGGACTGGCCCGGCGCGGTGGCTCATGCCTGTAATCCTACCACTCTGGGAGGCAACGTGGGAGGATAGCTTAAGCTCAGGCGTTTGAGACCAGCCTGAGCAAGAGCAAGACCCCGTCTCTACTAAAAATAGAAAAATTAGCCAGGAGCGGTGGTGTGCATCTGTAGTACCAGCTACTCGGGAGGCTGAGACAGGAAGATCACTTGAGCCCAGGGGTTTGAGGTTGCTGTGAGTTATGATGACGCCAGGGCACTCTACTCAGGGCAAGGGAGCAAGATTCTTGTCGCCAAAAAAAACGAATGAAGGACTTATTCTTCCACCGTGGGGCATGCTGATAGCAGATAATCCTCCATTGTTAGCCTCTATGGGATTACTACAGCTGAAAAGAGCCACTTTAGCCTTCCTGGGAAGGCTTATATCCAATGACTGACCCACCAAAGGCTATAAATATCTAAGTCCCTCATTTCAAGTCAGGTCAACCCTAATGGGCCACCCCCGCTTCACAGATTCCCATGGAATCACCTGAGGCCTTCACTGAGACTGCATTGCAGCTCAACTTCTCCTTCTGCCCAATCCTGCTACCTTCCTTTATTGCTTGCTGATCCCAAGATCACTACCTCATCAACTCCCCACACACTCATCTCTGTATCAAAAGCTTGATTCCCAGGACCCAATATATAACACCCTTCTTCTGGGTTAACTTTTCTTCTAGGCCAGGTGACCCTTGAACAACATGAGTTTGAACTGTGTGGGTCCATGTATATGCAGATTTTCTTCTGCTTCTGCCACCCCTGAGACAGTAAGATCAACCCCTACTCTTCCTCTTCCTTCTCAATGTAAAGATGATGAGGATGAAG